GTTACAATTCCGTGACGTCATTTTGGTTAAACTGTTTATATTATGGAGTTATGAGCACCTAATTACAGATTTTTACTAGACAAAGGCATTATTTTGCTTTATCAACGATAAAATCTGAAGTGAGACCTTTTGAAAAGACGCTGACAGCGTTTTGAAGTATACTAAGTGTTGTCTTTAAATTGGTGTTAAATCTGTGATCGTGGGTGCTTAGGCAAAAGAGAAATTTGAAAAACTGATTTTCAGTTTTTACTTCAAAGTCGCAATTATGACGTCACCCGTAAGATGACGTATGTGTAATTGTTAATTTATTTAGTCACTGAACACAGAAGATTTATCGATTACCCAAAATATGTATGAAAGGCAGTAAACAAGGAGGTTGGGGCGAAGGGTGACAATATCCTTTGAAAAATGTTCAGGGGGCTCGATAGAATGTACGTACAATTTTTTACCTTATTTGTTCAAAAGCACGGAAATAAATATTGCCATGTTGTGAAATGATACACATCAAAAATACTTCAAAGTGAATTTGCTAATGCAAGCTGTTGCCTTTACAGCAACGTTTTGTGTTCTGTGTTCTGAGTGTGTGTGTGTGAAAACTGTAATATCGATTTCAAAGGAATATTAGTCAATTGAACAGCTATCAGGAACATTTTACATGATAACAGCTACAAGTGCTGCAATTTGGCGCCAGAAAAATTACTTGAAATGTTAACATCTGACGTAGTCAATATGGAGATGAAGTAATATCTTTATTTAATGAAAATAATAATAAGTAGTCCTAAGTCGTTCTTTTACTGGTCAATAAAATACAACACTGAAAATTTGTTCATTAAATTTAAGCAAAATACATATTAGTTCACATCATGAAATAAAGGAAATAGTGTTAGAATGCGAGTAAGAGTGTGGAGGATAATTATATTGCTGTATTTGTGTATCGAGTGTCAATAAGTAATGAATAAAAAGATATACAAATACTGACTTAAGTGACACAGTAAATGCAGTAAGAACCACAGCAATGCTTGTGTACTATATTATTTCAGGTATGTGGATGTAAAAATGGCGGGACTTGTGTCCAATTAACTGATGGTTCTGGTAAATGTGCCTGCCCTGTCCCTTACGGCGGATTGAACTGTGAACGTAAGTAATATCCAGGAACATACTGGTCATATTCAAGATAAAGTTTATATTTCCAGTGATAGCTTTTAAAAACTCATGTTTAATATCCCAACAAGCGTTTCCAGTAGTGAACAACGTTGCCATTATTGCCTATGTATTTATGGTGTGAAACAGTTTACATACATACTTGGGTAATAAAAGACACGTTATGCTTTATTATATTAATTATATCAAATGATTTCTATCACTTTTTGTGCATTAAGTGGCGTGTCCACCGCAGTTTGAGGTTACGTTCAGGACAAGTTGCTACAGTTTCAACATAGCACTGAAAGGCAACTTCTACCAGGCTAAAGCCCACTGCGAGTCAATGGGAGCGAGGCTTGTCGCCGTTGACGATGAAGAGGAGCACACCTTTATTAGACAATATATTATGGCCGACGAAGGTAAGGGAAATTTATGATATTACATCATCTGACATCGGTATACTAGTGCGTTTTACAGTGATTTATAACAAAAAAGGCCTCAACAACAGTACAATCGTGTGTAATAGTACGTGTTACCCACAAGTACTTTTACTTTGCAAATTACTCAATGTTTTCGTCTTGTAATCTATTTAGACAATAATAGTGTCTCTTATAAGTTGGTACCAGTTGTCACAATTAAATTTCTGTAGAATTCAATACATTTTGGATTTATTTTACCGATCAGTAAATTTTTCAGAGGGCAGGGCCGTAGCCTCCGGGGGGGGGGGGGGGGGGGGGGGGGGGGGGGCGCCCCCCCCCCGGGGTTTTGGGGGGAAAAAAAAAAAAAAAAAAAAAAAAAAAAACCCAAAGGGAAAAAAAAAATTAAAAAAAAAAANCATTTTTCTCAGGCTACGGCCCTGGAGGGCTACGGCTCTAATTCGACGTAGTATGTCAAAGGGTTACCACATGCAAAATTTGGTGCTTTTATCCGCCGTGTCACGATTTGGCCACATTGCCCCTAAGCCACCCCACTAAATGTCAATTATTTACCTGCAGCTCGCAACGCCACCTCCTGGTTTACTGCAGCAACAGATGAAGCCTCTGAAGGTACCTGGGTATTGTCCGGATGGGGCGACATTCCAGCACCGTTTACTGCATGGGGCCCAGGTATAAAACTCACATATTTCCATTTGTATTTTCATATTTTATTTTCACAATTTTGTCTTTAAATAACCTGAATGGAATGTGTCTGAGAAATATTCAAAACTATCTTACTTGGTATGTATTGCCATGCTGAAGTGCTCTTACATACTGGTAGAAGTAAAAATGAAGCGATGATACCAAGAAGAAAATGCCAAATTTGAACTGAAAATTGCCAATTCTCATAATTGATATCGGTTTTTTTTATTGGAATAATGACTTCTTGTCGGCTTTAAATTGAAGAAGATTTAAAACAATTTAATTCAAACGAAATGACCTGATGTTAATTTTATTTGCATAATAAGAAGAATCTATTTACCACGAGTAATTTCCATTCCAGGTGAACCAAATAGCAAAGGGGGCAATCAAGACTGTGTACAATACTATAAAACCACCAAGCTTTTTGATGACGTTCAATGCAGTTATAGTATTAACTTTATATGTGAAACAGAAGCGACCTAGACAACGACGCATACTGAAAAAATATATACAGGATATAATCCGCATGGGAAGGAACCAATATTAGCACAATAATACAATCTTTTTGTATCTCATTTTATTCGTACCTTATATATTCAAGAAATGTATGGTTGGTAAATTAAATTTCTTGTAAACTATGGTTTGTTGACTTCGGCTTACAGATTGGCTCTCCGTAAGAGAACACAAAATGGTCAAATAACTAAGGATTTTTCCAACGAGCCCTTGGTGAATTAGTCACAGGGAAAATATGGAAACGTCATCATACTTAAAGGGCAACATGGATACGTTGTAGCATGTTTTACGCTTTCAAGATAATTTATGAAATTTCTTCCGATGCTGTTAAGGTTGTCAATTCAGGTTATGAGATCAACGTTTTTATGCTGCCTGCTGTCAAATTTATACCTACGGATACTTTTTCTAACGTCAACACTGCTGCTCTCTCCGTCATTTCCTTATGTTACACCATCCATTTGTAATGAAGACATTTCTAATCGGATTGCTCTTTTTGATGACTACATGTACCGTTACATGGATGGAATTCTATGGTTTTGTATACAAATGCATCTTTCTTTTAATCGGCTCACACATGCAAACAAGAATTGTAATATTTTTCCTTAGGGTAATCTTCAATGTTCGTGGCCGCCCTAAATCTATATTAAATGAAACCTTGGCTGTCTGAACAGGTACTTATATACGTGACGTACCGGTATCTTATGCTTGTGCGCTTCCAGTATTACATGCCGTGTACGTTTTCATTAAATTTCGTCATATCAGGAAGAACTTTTGCTTACATTTAGTCTGTCAAATATTTAGCCGTCATTCAAGTCAGTGTGGACTGCATTAATAAGCTAATATATTTGCATCATCCATCGTGTCCCGAGTAAATTTTATTTACATTTTATCTAATAGAGGGTGTTTTTTGTCATGGTTTATGGCTTCTGGATCCTGTTCAGCAACCAGATGGTATATCTTCTTCTGTTTGGATGTTGTATATTTTTGTCGTGTGCCGATGTAGCGTCTTTCTGAAATCCTGTATGAAATGTACATATTATGACGTTTATGATATAGCATATCTTTGCAGTGTAACCCAGAGCGTTATCCTCATTCTGCGATTTTAGTTTCCTCTAATGTTTACGTGTTTATTAGAAATAAAGTAATGTATTTACAATAATTTGTTGTGCTTTACTTTCAAAAAGCGTGGTTATCCGCCGTGGTATTTTTTGCATAACATTTAGGTCGTGTTTCGTGAATTGTAAGAAGAGTATCAAAAGAAGTAAACCATAATTAAAGCGAAATGAACCAGCACTTACAAATAGAATAAAAAGTATAGACCATGTAACTAACCCTCATGTTGTAATGCAATTTTACCCCCGTTTATGGATTATTCACGTGGATCTATTTCTACCACTTTTTAGGTAGAAAAGGAGCTCGTTTAACTAAATGGTTTAAATTAAAATTCAAACGTGGAAGTTCCCATTCAATAACGTTCAAAGCAATATTAATAACGCCGTGAAGCAAAGGAATCCACGGTCTTTATAAATAATTCTTTTTCTGATGATTAGAACTAGTTATTTCTTATTCGAGGCACAGAATTCGACTTTATGCACGGACTGATCGTGAATGTGGTAGGGGAGATCAAAACAAGAAATCCGGTTGAGACAACGCAATCAAATATCGACATCAAAGGCTCTACAGTGATGGGGTTGGCGTGCAACCTGTACTACAGGTTGTAGTATAATGATATATGCTTCATATAAATGCAGAAATACGTAACGCCCTTTTTGACTGTACATCTTTCCTTTAACATGAAACACCCACTGTTTCCTGTCACAGTTCACTCTAGTCTATTTTGGACTGTACATTTCACCTAGCACCCATATTCTGTCTTAGATTAAATTTGAAAGATTATTAATTTTTTTACAAGCTCGTCACGTACACAGCGTGTCTAAACTGTCTGCAGGCTGCACCTGTTTATATGATGGATCTCATATAATCTAATAACCGCGACAAATACACGTACGTGTTTTATGCATTATAAAGGATTATAACGCAGGTCCGTAACCAACGAAGGGGGTTTTCTTTCCAAGGACGTATTCAGAACAGCGGACTAACATATACGCGGATCAAATTTGGCGGCCCCCTTGAAAGCTTGCCGCATAATCTCGTTATTGCCACTGAATAGATTCCCCACGGGGATTACGCGCCAATGGGGCCATTCAGAATGAGAAGATCCGGGTGCTAACTAGTCCACGACCTTAATATGGCGGACCTACATGAAAAGAAGACTGCTTAATCCTGTAATGGTCTCTCCGCCTCTTTCACGCCTCCCCACGCGTCGTCCCTGCAGGGACACAGTAATTACATCTCGTCTCAATTCGACAGGTCGAGGGACGACGCGTCCATGGACCAGTCAGCACTCGGATCTTCTCATTCCGAATGGCCCCAATCATTCAAATGTGTCGGCCATGTTTGATCCGCGGATCTATTAGTCCGCTGTTGGCAATGCAGGCTCTGAAAAAGTGAACCTTTTACCATGAAACCTTCATGTACCTACAGGTAGATTAATTTTGACGCAGAGCGTTTGAACCCCTCGAACCCCCTAGCTACTGTAAAAAAAAACTGTCATTTATGAATGACTATACATGTACGTAGGCATAGACTATATAGAGAAAATGTACTTAGAGATAATATGAATATTCGCTCTACGAATTGCGCTGTCATTCATGTGATATTTATATCTAATACATGCCCCTCATCTGACATTGTTCGTGGTTTTATAATTACGTTTTCTAGCCATGTATCGCGTTCACTTTGCAATAAGACATCACGGAGATTGACAATATTGTTTAATATGAAATACAGGCCAGGCCCGTAGCCAGGGGGTGTTCGGGGGGTTCGAAAGAACCGCCCCTTTTGCTGGGAAAGGTCCACTCTGGGTGAAATTTGACCTAGGTACATGAAGTTTTTATGGAAAAAAGGTCCACTTTTTCAGAAAAATAACCCCCCTTTTGAAATTGCTGGCTACGGGCCTGCAGGCTATACTATAACGGATGTAAAAACTATGTATCAACTTAAGTCAGGTTTCCAGCCAAATTAAGCCCAACTCAGGGGCGGATCCAGAGCTATTTTATTTTCTGACAGTCTTCCAAATTATCTTTGTTGATCCATCCTCATTTTTGACCGTCTTCTGACAGAAAAAATTAGATACCCGTCAATGTAAACTTGAAAATCTGAAGGTCTTCCGGAAGACCCAGAAGACGGCCTAAATCCGCCCCTGTTGAACTTACTCATTTTAGCCCATCTCAGCAAGTCGACAGGTAATGATGAGTCCACCACGGCAAATTAATCTGTAGGCACGCACCATATGCCCTGTACTTAGTAGACCGGGTAGCAGACAAATTAGATTTGTGGTCAGCTACACAAATGTTTATTTTGTTTTGTTTATCATTTTGAGCACGGATGTGCACTGACGGATAAAACGGGATTTTCTTGCTGTCGTGTGTGTGTGGATGTGTGTGTATTATATGTATAGATTTAAGTTAATTTCCTACAGATAGGTGACGGTTCGTTGGTGACAAATTGCAATTTGCTGGATTTTCCCGCATTCGGGTCTCCACACGCTATTTTTATTTATTTATTTATTTCATTTTTGTTTGTTGGGGGAGTGTAGAATATATGGAATTGGCATGGACTGATAAATCTTACTTCTTCTTCCCATGTTTTTAGAATACCAATAACAGCGAAACAACAGCTTTAGCATTTATTATGTGATTTGTTATGAGAGAGAGAGAGAGAGAGAGAGAGAGAGAGAGAGAGAGACCCCGAACCGTAAACAAAGAAACCGAGTTCTGGCGACCTCCTGCTCATTCACCCGTGTTACTACTTTTCCAGCTGTTGAAGGGAAACTCAAAGCAGAGGAAGGAGTGAGGAGATTCAGATGTGCCAGTACACACAGAAGAAGCCTTGCTGGGCCCCTATCATATTGCACCCTGAGTTTTCCATATAACTAACAAACTCGACTTTACCATAAGCGTGAATGCTGTGAGAGTCATAGGCCAATGGTGGATTGAGACCGTCTTCTAGGTCTTCCGGAAGACGGTCAGAGTTTAAAGTTTACAATGACGAGTATCTAATTTTTTTTCTGTTGGAAAACCATCAAAAATGGAGGATCAATCAACAAGGATAACTTGGAATACTGTCAGAAAATATCTCAGGATCCGCCCCTGTGTAAGTTGCGATGCAGTAACTGTGATACGTAGGGTTTATAGCACAGATCTATACAACTGGCATTAAAATGTGCAAATCCCCGCTGTCAAAGTTCGTCTGCTGTGGATGGAAATAGTCTTGTAAACTCTGGAGACTCCTTGATTTTACTTAAGTATGAGAAGGCAAAGTTAAAAACATTTTGCCCAGGAGAGAGGGGCAAATATGGACGATTTTCCTGCGTCTGCCGACACTCAGGGTGCTAGAAGATGCCATATCCTATATCGTGGCCGTGAGCAGCGCGTATGGCTCAGCCTTTAATATTAAGGAACGTCACAGTTCAACATTTGCATCTAGGTTAGCGGCACCTCTTCCGTTAGCTTGCCGTTGATCGCGGAGGAGACTTAACTGGGCGTTTTCTCGGAGACGATTTCGTGATTCCTATTTTTGTGGCTAACTCAAGATGCAGACTTGCTGCGGTTGTTGGAATCTTTTGCAAGGGTCCAGGGCCAGCGGAATATGGACGCTGGTAGGTGAATTTATGTTGTTAATGATCGAGAAAAAGGCCTTGACTATTCAAGTGACTTCAACCACCAGCTCTTAGAACCGTTAAGTGGTCGCACGCGAAACAAACGTAATGGTAGGCTTATTTATTCCTTTTATAGCGCATATCATTTTTGAGGTAACAAAAGCAAGGTCTGATTACGTTCTTGTTGGTATGTCAAGTAAGTTACGACTCTTGACTATTTTCCGTAGTGAAAAGGATGCTGCCTTACAAATGTTGTTAATTTGCTTTTCAAAAATTCCAGCTGAATAAAAAATCACACCTCAAATTTGCCAGACCTTCTGATGTTTTCACAGGTACATTACAAATGCGAACGTGTTGGTTGTAGAACAGGCGATTTTAGTTTAACTGCCATATTAAAAGCACGCCTGTTCAAGAGCATTCACGCTCGGATCCCATTAATGCGTTTCATATATAATTTATATTTATCTTAGTGTCATCAGCCAAAATGGCTGTCTGAATTCGAAGCTTGCATTTGTAAATGATGAAACACAAACTGAATAAATTATGAATCACACGAAGACGCTTAAAGGATTTTTAATATAATGTACTTACAACGCACAATCCGGCGGCATCTTTTTCTCCATATTGTATTTATATATATTCAGTTTGTGTTTCATCATTTCCAAATACAAACTTCGAATTCAGACAGCCATTTTGACTGATGACACTATATATATATATAAATATATATATATATAAACAAATCAAAAAGCACCACACAACAAACATTTATCTCCAAATTGTGTACTGTTGAACACAATAAGCTTGTTTTACTCATTAGGGTTCGTATTTGCTTTAAAAAAAGATTTCACACATATGGGTTTCAACAGATCTAGTGAATAAGTCTTTCATCTTTTTGCCTGTTTTATATATATTTTGATAACATCCCTTTTTTCTGGTTTCAATAGGTTGCCGGCATACTGAATCTGCTATGGTACATCTACCAAGCTGCCTCAAACAGTGAGTTTGGAATCAATTCAACTATTCAATTATAGAACATTGTAAAGCATACGCTTTGAAAGAGCATGCGCGCGTTACCCGGATGGTCATGGCTTAGTGAATTCTACGCATTTTCATTCAGTTCCCGTCTATTCGGGCGCTACACTATTGTTTATGACACGTATGAGACCCACGCATTATGATCTCCGGGTATCTGTCTATATGTGTGATAATTTTTAAGAAATATCCTTGAGAGATTGTTGGTACTACTAATTTATTGTATTTATTGGGGCAGTTGAGTGAGACTCGTGTATCGAGTCAATGCGACTGTAACAATTTGATCCATAGCCCGAAACACCGGATAAAAATATCAACAAGAAAGCCGTCGTGTAATTGTGTAGAGTAGTCGACCCATAAGAGCTAAATTTCATTACACTGCTTTATTTTCATATTTCAAGAGTTTGGATTTTGTAATATTGCACTATGAAAAAACATAATTTTCGTTTTTCAGCACGGTCGTCAATTAGTTGGAACACTTTCCTGGGCATTGCTCTGCTAGTAATTTGGATTATTACTTCCATCATTTTGTTGGTCGGATTATCCCAGGTAGGTCTATAAAATTGTTAGTATTTTAATTATATTGTACATCACTATTTCTGGAGAGCCCCAGCTTAGCTTGGAAGAAGTATGGAGGTAAAAAAGGCACAACATTCCATGCTCTTGCCAGCCGTGTGGCGTAAACGGAACGTCCCTTTTTCGTGTGCTTCTGTCCAGCAAAACATAAAAGGAGGGGGCAGGACCAACCCTCCCCACTCTTGATAACAATGACCTGCCAATGAAACACAAAGTCAAAATTCAAATTTAAAAAGCGTCAGTTCAGTAATCAATGCGTTGTGAGCAGAAGTAATGGCATTTTGTTATTTTCTGGGTCAAGCAGACGAGCATAAAAAGGGCATGCATAACGAACATTCGTGTGCCTTCCAGGCTGGAATTCTTCCAATTTTGGGCGGGGATTGATTATCCAAATTCCATTTTTGCTAGGCACCTCTACTTCGACCAAAGAATCTATTTTCATGTTACCGTATGATTAAAATCTGGGATTTTTGTCTAGAGAGAAAGTTACTTTAGTTGATCAGTGATGTCGTCACTGAAATAGGAGTCGCAAAATGTTGCATTAGATAGTTTTGACCATTTTTTTGCCAACATACCATGGTCAGGAATATTGTACACATGTAAGTGATACATCACCATCAAAAGAGGAACAAATACCCCTTGGTTTATCTGAGTCAAGCTGATTTGATCTAGTACCAAGACGCCATCCTGTTTTTATCTATATACAACTGCCTTCCCCAAGACCTTGCTCCACTTTCGACCAGCGTTCTGATACGGGTATGCAGCCTTCGCTCGCTGAAAGGTCGCTTTGAAAGACGGGGCAAGGAACACGCCTTTGGTTCGGACTGTCAAAAATGATTTACCCCATTCGCAGCTGCGCATGTGTTGTTTCGACTCAAGAGTTTTTTAGGCGTTTTGACAATGTCACTTGCAGTATGTACGTGTGCAATGTTTGGTATGTGTGCACTAGTATATAGGCCTATATATAAGAATTAGTCAGCACGGCCAAACTATTTCAATCGTCTACTGCATCAGTGGTGATTGTAAATATCTGGAACTTTTTTGTGATTAACTAGGATGGAAATCCATTATCTAAAAGGGAGTGTTTTATTTTTCATGTTTCTTTTTTTACAAAATACGGGATTATTAAAGCCTGTGGAATTCGGTCAATTATATTTTATCAGTCTTAGAGCCCAGTGACTAATCATCGGATTGGTTAGATTTTAAAATGATTGTTATCCGAGACCTTTGACATATTAATCTCCAAAAGGTAAAATTCAGCCACCGAGGATGTATTGATAGCTTGCCCTGTATGGAGACCTAGTTTTTTACAGAGGAACAATGCGAACACTTTGAGTGTGTCCAAAACGCCATCTCTGAGAATAACATTTTGATGATTAATGTATTTTAATAATTAAAATCGTTTATTGAAATACTTCAACCTCGTGGTTGCAAATATGAATAAAATTTCATTATTTTTTATTAACATTATTATTATTATTATTATTAGTAGTAGTAGTAGACTACCAAGTATCTAATTGCATAAAATTGCTGGTGTGTCTATTGAAAACACTAGCACAGAACCGTCGGAAATATACACGAGGTGATAATGAGGGAGGAGATTTCTAGGCACCGAAAACACAACCACGTTTTGTTTTTATGGAGCACTCACCGCCGGCCTGCTGACCTTCCATCAGCTGTGATCTACACCGACAGATACAGGAAATCAGAAACCCACGTCACGTTGAGAAGAAAACGATAGAAAAGGTGGCTTGAACTGATACACGTCGGCCCTTTGTTATTTACTAGTTTTTGTTTTGGTGGAATCCGTATATAGCCAATAGCCAATAATAATATACAGACGCAATGGTGGTACTAGTATGGGTATCTTGGACCCGTCATAGATAGATAGATAGATAGAAGTTTTATTTAGACTGGGTTCCCATGCCTAGATCGATCCATCTGGATCGGTCTAACTCCCTGGGAAGTCTCACTAAATTTCTATCAACTAACCGGCTTAAATTTCTGTCACGCCTACCAAATCAGCTAGGGGGTAAAGATAATTAACCACTAAGAGCTTTACTTGGCATGACTGACATTTAACCCGGTTAGGTTGATGGCAATTTAGTGAGACTCCCCAGGGAGATAGATCGATCCAAATATCTGCTGGAATGGGCCCTTATTCTGAATTGTGAGCATCAGAACAAGAAATAAAGGAAACATGTATTGGGTCCGAGGTATATACATGTGTACAACATTTTGTATAAAAGGCTCTGATATGTCGTATTTTGTTTCAGAGTAACCGTTACATGTTCCTTCCTTGGCTCATCGTGACTGGGTTAATCTGCCTCTTTCAGTTAATCACCCTCATATACTTCATCATTGTTGCTAGTAAGTATCTTCGGTGTTATCAAGATTTTTTGTTCTTAATTCTCTCCTTGTCTTTTTGTTTAAAATTTCTCTTCTCTCTTTTCTCTCTTATTTTCTCTTTTCTTTTTTGCTCTAGTGTGTGTGTGTGTGCATTCTAATTATCCCTGAGAATGTAACATAAAACAGTTCTAGGGGGATCAAACATTAGAGATCAATCATGGCAATAACATATATTATACACAAGTGGAGGAAAATGCTTGGTTGGCTTTTTATTTTATTTTATTTTTAAAAATTATTTGATTTTCTTTACAGTCGTGGCTCCAATTTTCTGGATAACTGTGGTTATTGCAGCGATAATTCTGGCTCTAAATGTAAGTATGTCTCCTCTAACTATTCCTTGTCTCGCAGATATTCTAAAGGTGTATATTTTCTAATAATGATGGTATTGAAATGCATGAACTGCAAAACAAATAGTAGCAATAGTAAAAGCAGTCTAGACAGCTAACAACGTCAACTCGTATCATTATAAGCTGAGTCAAATAATAATAACAATAACGTCATGACTGCCGCTATTGGAAAAGAAGTTGAAATGGAAACTTTATTGATTAAAACTACAACAAACCCTGTGTTGGAAGAATGGTAGTCCTAGGAATGGACGTCCGGGTCCCATATGATTAGTACAGGTTAGGGTTAGTCCGAGAATGGGGGGGTGGGGGTGGGGGGGGGGGTATATGGCACGAATGTCACCTGTACAAAGTAATGGGGAATGGACTACGGTTCCTAGCGGACTACCATTCCTGTCACACCGGTACATGGTACTGGCATGGTCAATTATTTGTCGACATACACGACTGCATACTGATACGGGTCACTGGCATAAATACAGACAGATAACATGTTCACTGATGCATTATAACAGAAAGAAAACGAATAAATTGTATCAGACTAAACACTAGACGATTTCCTCTAGCAATTTTCACGGCTAATACGGCCCTGCATACAGTAGCAAATGCAAATGTACAAAATGTTAACAAAAGCGCTAGATTATAGGGGATAATAAATAGGATTGATGGTTAATGTATGTAAATAATGCCTCCATGGTCGACACGTCTGCCACAAACCCAGCAAACATTGAACGTTATTAAAGCGTTACCATAACGTTATTATGACCAAAGAACGATATGGTCACGTTATGGTAACGTTATAAAACGTCATAAAACCCTTTTCCTCGTTTATTGAGAATCTTTTTAATTTTTCCTTTTAGATCTACGCCATGGTCTGTGTATCTTTCTACTACCAGCAATTAGTTGATGGCGGCGTCCAACCAAAAGTGTAGATCCGCACAGAATGAGTAGGCGCCTTCCCATTGGTAAAAAGATAGGCCGTTTTTGTACGTGCATGTAGTCTGATTCAATAACCGTTCCGTAATGTTATATGTAGGTTTAGGCTAGAATAGTTTTTAGACTTGGGTCAAATTGTAATCATTTAATGTACGCGTAGCATTATAGGTGATTCATGCCAATTACACAAAGCCCTTGTCTTTTATAGAGACTAATTGAGATATTACCCAAGAACATATTGTATTGTATTGTATAGATGGTGAAGAATGGGTTTATGTTAATATTTTAGGCATCTATTGGCATTTTTATATATAGGAAATAGGAAGATTAGTTGTTTGGTATTTTCAGTATCTTAATAGATAATTTGCTTACAAAGTAGACGAGAGAGATTCAATCTGTACGTTTCTAGCAGGTTGGTTCTTATTGGACCAGAACTTGAAGTTTATAATCGGCGAATATGCGACGGGACCTTTTAAAAATTATAGATTAGCATTATTTTTTTTTTTTATAGATAATGTGCCTTAGTGCAGAAAAATGTTTTATTTTTTCATGATACATATATTTTCTCATAATTTTTCTTATCGCTTACAAAGGCATAATTATACATATTGTGTTTTTGATAAAAATTTACATCTGCTATCCGTGATGAGAACTTTTA